AAATCTTAGAAGAACAGAAACTAAGCGTTAAAATACCGGGACCAAGGGCGTTGAAATAAAGAGGCTCTTACCTTATAAACCATTGAACTTGTTTGATGAAATTCGGTACAGCGATAGTTTGAGATCCGGGAAAGGACATCTAAAAGTTTTACTACTAACTAGGCGTTAAAATTCTTCGGTAAAATTCTGGCACTGTTTATCTTTAAAATCACTATATCTATTTGATATATATGCGATACAAAATAGATTTGCATACATATAATAGTTTTGTCACTGAAACCTCACGAGACGGGCACTGTACGGGTAAAACCTCTGTGGGATTGTTTATTTTTGAAACCACGAAAATAAATTCATTTCTCTATAAATATTACCCAAGCACTGAATCGATTGTGATGATATTTGTTACAGTCATACAGCCGTACAATAAATCTTGGCAAAGACTAATCTAAAACCCCAATTTACACAGAAGTCGCTATTTCACGCGGGCGAAGTCGCGGGTAACAGCTAGTATATATATATATATATGAACAGAAGAAAGAGAGAAACAGTACAGAGAAAAAACCTAGAACTCCTTCATTTGGTGTTCAAATCGTTAGTTCAATAAGGATCACTTCTTAAACAAATCATAACTGATCCACCTAATTTATTTATTAATCGTGTATTTTTTTTGCTGTACAGCATATGTTTAAAAAATATATATCTATATTAAACAATTGTTTACTTTGTTTTATGACGTTTGTATTTTTTATGACTAATTAGTCACAGTCGGTAAGCACAACACTGGGTAAAAAATTTGTCGTACTAAAATTTAAAAAAAATAATTGACTTGAGAACTTGTTTTTTTAATTATTAAGGAATGGTTCCGCGTAGTTGGATTTAAATACAAAAAAGTAGTAGGCTTAGGTTGTATAATTTTGCTTTGAATACAAAACTTTATACAAAAATATACACATAACATAACATCACGCCTTTTATACCTGAAGGGGTAGGCAGAAGTACATCTTATGCCATTCTATAATGTAACACCCACTTTTCACTATTTACGTTATGATGATAATATTATTATCTCAGTAGTAGCACGGAGTCTGAAATTGTGCCCGATATATGGCAATAGGCTCACCCTCTATTACATGAGACTCATAACATAAATAGTGAAAAGTGGGTGTTGCATTGTATAGTGGCAATAAGTGCCTTAATGCGCGCCTGTGCCTACCTTCCACCTTCGGGTACAGAAGACGTGAACTTATATAATAATTATATTTTTATGCTGTATTCCTTTTTTACTGAAAATTCTCATGGTGCCTCTTCGCCTAGGGAAAACAAAGGCTATCAGATTCTTACTGACTCAAAGCATTACCGATGTCCTGTCTCCCAAGTGGACGTGAAAATGTAGGAATCTTTATTCGCGGCCCCATTTGTGACGTTCCGCCTCCTAGATTCCACCTGGAGACGCACAGGCAAGTGGAGTGTCCATCTGCCGTATGCTTTACCTTGGAGGCATTCGTGAACGTGCACCACCACCACCACGTGTAGTCCTGTCCTGTTCGGGATGACGGAGACTTCCCCAAGTCCTTCGTCCCCGGAACTATTTGAGGGTTGTTAAATCGAATTATTCGTGATTATCTTTCTTGTAACTACGTCTGACGAATTATAATTATGTTTATAATTGGTCTTCCTATAAATCAAAACATAACATACCGAACCGAACTTGCCATCAGGTAAATCGTCTGATCAATTGCCACTTTATTGCATTAATTAAAAACGTTCTATAAAACATAACAATTTATTAAAGAAAAAATACTATTTAAGACCTTAATGTTAAATTAACAAGAGGGGTTGTTGTAGGTTTTAATACAATTTCGTATCTCCACTTCAAAACATTGATATCAGCAGTAATGCGGAACTTCCTCACTACATGCGCTATCGACGTCTTCAGGCTCATCATGGCGTACTGTTTCCCTGTAATGAGACAACAGCAATTATTTTTTTACTTTAAAATGTAGATAAAGGAAAGAAAAAATCCCTATATGTAGCTATAGAGGTTACAAGCTTACGAAAATCGTGTCACAAAATCACTTGGTCTACTGAACGAAACGAATACACTTTTACAATAGATAGATAAAGACTCCTATTTCAAATAATTCAAGTGATCATACCAATACAGTTTCGCTTGCCAAAACTGAACGGAGCGTATACGTTGGGGTTAGTAGGTAATGTATCGGGATTCAGCCATCGCTCCGGTTTGAATTCCTTCGCGTCTGGTCCCCAGGAGGGGTGACGGTGAAGGCCATATATTGATAGGATACATATACTTCCCGCTCTCAATGTATATTTCGCTGGAATTACATATTATACTGTAAGTCATTTATATTGAGTCTAAATAAGAAATTGTAGAGTAAATAAATAACAATACGTACGCAGTACAATATCGGCATCAATTTTTCTCGCCATCAATGGAACTGCGACATATACCCTCAGTACCTCCTTTATCACACCTTCTAAGTAAACAAGTTTAGACATATCGTGTTTCGTCAACTCCTCATTATTTTGAAAAACGTCTCGAACCCTATAAAAGGATGAGAACAGGTAAACAATCGGCGTCGCTCATGGACATCCGAAATACCGGTGCGTTAAACCAGCCTTTCGAGGATTAGGAATTTGAGGGTTGTTGGCAATTCGGAGATTGGAGAGATAGAGAAGTAGTAATGGGGCCTTTGGTAACCTTTGGTATTCTCAAGTTTGGGAGAGCCATGCAAAGCATGGCTCTCCCAAACTTGAGAATGAAATGGACATGGAACCTACTCTATCGATACAATGCTTACAGCTCATTTAAGAGATTTTGTGAATATCTTTATGTCATAAGGACAAGAACAACAAATGGCAAGATTTGTAAAAAAGAACTTCATTAGAAGCTCAAACTTGTAAGACAAAACTTACTCTTCATAAACTCGTTCTTGCACATCAGGATATGATCCAAGCACCATCAGCGCATTATGCAATACTGCTGAAGTTGTGTCATAAGAAGCTGCTACGAAAGTATTCAGATGCGCTCTAATATCATCATCTGAGAGGACGTTTTGTTCATTAGACAAATCCAGCATCAAATCTAGCGTAGGTTTGAATTTACCTGAAACTAAAGCTTCATTATTTATTATGCAAAAGTTACCTATTATTCTCTGTAATGTGTTTCAAAACATCTGAATATCTGTGCAACGAAGTATAATGTAATGTAGGCTGTCAAGAGACAATTAAAAATGTTGCGAAAGTAAAAGTTGGTATGAATGAAATAGATGTCGCTGATCACGAAATACGCGTAGAACTTATTAACGTGCGTTGGATATAGTACTTTAACTCAGTGACAGTTCTAATTAACAGATTAATAATGCGTTGTAACCATAATCTTACCTGTTGTTGAACTATCGTAATTATACATTTTTGTAGGTTTTAGTTCAGATTTGCGTTTTTGAATAATCTGTAATATATAATTTTATAAATGACTGTGAGACAAAACATAAAAAAATAAGCCATGTAGGAAAACATATGCATCCTTACAGGATTTATCATATTCTTAACAATTTTGACTAGTTCCAACTCTCTTCTTCTCATTGACGTCCAGTTGTAAATACATGAAGGATGTACATACACATTTAAACCACGGTAGCATACAATTCTGAAGATTTCTTCTAGCGCTTTCGCGTAACCATTGTCGATTATATCTTGATCTTTAGATTCTAATCCCAGTGAAGTTCCTACAAATACAAACAACAAATACAATTGAACTTTAAACACCATGCACTGTCTTATCGTCACATGCCTGATTATAATTTGGATTAAATTTTTTAGCAAATTTTACTCAAGCATATCAACACATGCCAGCAAAATAAAATAAACCACTAACCGCATAATACATGTGCGAAGTTATACTTTTTGGTTGAATTTTCTTTTTTTGAATAATGTTTACAGAATACGTTGCAAAGAGTAGACTAATTGCTGTGTTTGTAGTTGTGTTGCTAGCTTGTATCCACATTCTAGCCCTACTTTATCACACTTCTGAACAACTGCCTAATTATAGTGTTACATTACAAAACAAACATTTTAATCAACGATTGTAGACAATTGACGTGCCCCACGGTTTTATTTTAGTCTAGTCTATGCATATGTTCATAATTCCCACGACTGTATCTGTTTTATTATTTTTTGGTTATTAGTACATTTATCTTAAACATTGCAATGTATGTTTAACATAAAATCGTTTAACTTAAAAAGTTTTTTTACCTATTTTTATTTAAAGGTATTTAAGCATTAATAGTTGAAACTTACGACAAACTGATCTTAGTATATATTGAGTTATAAATTCCTTGATGTCAACTGGTCCCTTTCCAGCCACAGTAGTCATTTGTGCGACCATATTTCGAGACTGTACATTCATTTCAGGTAGAAACGTGTTTAATACTTGTTGGTTGAACGATGGACTTAGTAGTTTACTGTGTATCCTCCACGTGGGTCCTGAAATAAGACAATTTATACGAATGTTTAATGAATACAAATCGTCAGTTTGATCAACACTAGCGATGTGTCCCGGCTGTATACCGGTAGATAAAATAGCCTAATATTTTCATCACTGATAATGTAGCCTTTAAATGGTGTGGGGATTTTTATAATTGATTTAGTACTTTTTGTGCAATTTAGTTACAAACGTCTATACAAATTTTTCTTCCTTAATATATGAGTATTCATAGATAATTAAATATCTTTGCCATTGCATACCATTCAATGTTATCAATCCATTTCCTATGCTATCAATTAAGAAATTGTAAAAAAATGGCTTTTCCAAACATGTATTTGCTATGTTTCCGACGACTTCTGGATCACTCACAACTGCAATAAAATAATAAATCATCATTGAAAATATAATTTAGAAGTTTAGTGTACTAGTTTTGGTGGATCTTTCTCGTCAAAATATTGCCATTTTAAGAGATTTCGTGACTTCACACGAAGAGGAGTCATGATGAGAAATTTCTCTCGGTCATGATTGGGAGTACAATGTTCAAAAGTCAACCAATTAAGATTACTAACACATCACATTTGCATTTCAGAGTCGTGCTATTACTTACCATAAGCTGTGACAGGTCCTGCCCAAAGTTGGACTATCCCTCCGTTTTCCACACTGTAATCAGCAATGTTTTGCAAAAAGCCCCATAAATCTGAAAATAAAAAACTAAAATTATAATCTTTAAAGTATGTAGCTTTGTTGACATAACATGTATTCTACATCTCCACTAACTGTATAAAGTTGTTTGTCTGAATTGAATAGGCTCCGAAACTACCGGACCGATTTGAAAAATTATTTCTCCGTTGGAATCCTATATTATCGATAATGATGATGCATAAGGATATATTTAATAAGACAGAAAAAAGGAAACTGTCTGAAAATTTCGATAATGTAACCCGATGTGTGAAAATACTACCAAAAAAATGTTTATATTGCTTAAGCCTTTAACTGTCAATAAAAAACAGTTTTCAAGGACAAATAATAGTATTTAGCTGCATCAGGATCAGAGATTTTAAAGAAAAAAATGCGATTGTAAAGGAAATCTTACGGGATAGGAACTGAAAGTAAAATTCCAGGACTCTATTGGTTAAACCACATATCCTATTTAAGTGCAATTCGGTACAACGATAGTTTAAGACTCGGAAAATGACGCCTGATTGTTTTCAACCGCTGTACCTATTTCGTTGGAATTCAAATGGAGCTTTAATCACTGAAACCTCACGGGAATAGATATTATATGGGTAAAATCCATGTCTGTTTATTTTTTTAAATCACGGTAATGAACAATATTTCACAATTAATATATCTAAATTGACTCTGATGACATTTGTTACACAGCATTGGAATTAACCTTGGAGAAGACTAATCAAAAAATCCAAAATTTGCCAGAAATCATTATTATACGCGGACAAGTCGCGGGGAACTGCTAGAAATTTCTATAACATTGATTTTTCCGATACTAGTGGTATCGGAAAATTCCTCTATATCGAGGAAATTGCTTAGAAAAAACGTTGTCTCACACTAGGGTTTTCTCTTGTCGTGGGTGCGATTTCAAACATACAAATTCATATACACATGACACCCTGACCCGAAACAATAATTTATGGATCTTATTAAGAGTTAAGAGTGGAGTACTGGATTGGTACTGGTTGATTCGCGCCCTACAATATCAAAACTATACAACCACAATCGTAGCTGTTAAAATAGCATTCAGAGTACGGAATATAAAGCCAAACTCAATACCATTTAGTTCATACAATATCCACGCAATACGGATGAAAGCCTGCTGGTGTTGCAACTCAAGAGTACGAAATTTCACAACACCAATGTCGGTCGATCGGAATTGAATTCAAGAGTAAGCCCCTGGTCCTGCTTAGAGCCGGAGCATTGATAAACAGCTAAGTCGTCTTGAGAGTAGCGAACGCTATTTAGCAATCATGCTTGCAAATAAATTGAACTTATATGAATCATTATTTGTCCAGAATACAAGAACTAGTCCAAAATTTATTTAAGCCTGCAATAATTATTTTAAACTACGTTTAAAAGAAACCGACTTAAACTCACTTTTTTTTCTGAAGTCGGTCATTTAATATATGTACAAAAACGTTTTACAAACACTTTTCTAAAAACCGCATCTTCAAAATCAAATCAAAATCTTTTCAGCCAATCGCGAGATAATTGGACACAAACATGCATAACGTCAAACTGGGACCTTCCTTCTTTGAAATCGGGTAATTATTTTTGAATTTAAAATTACCTTTGCGGTACTTAATGATTATATGAGGATGTCCAATAATCGGTAATCCCCCTGGATATATTGGAGGAGAACGAGGATAGTTTCTCGTCCAGTACCATAACGAAAGCAAGACACCAATTATCACAGTTAGCACTAACACATACATTTTAGAACACAATTAATTATGGACTACATGTATACTAATAGATTTCGAATATTTATAACAGTCGAGGAACGCAGAAATCCAGTTTAGTTTTGGATTACCATAAAAATTTTGAATTCTAAAATAAATTTTGCTGTGGAAAATTTTTAGACCTATTTAAACAGATTTTTTATGTCATAAGCCGGTAAACGAGCAGACAGATCACCTGATGATAAGCAATCGGCGTCGCCCATGAACACCAGGAACACCAGAGGCGTTACAAGTGTGTTACCGGCCTTATGGGGATTACGAGTTTGAGGATCGTTGGGATTCAGGAATTAGGGAAATTGGGGAAGGGGAGGGTAATAAGCTAAACTCAATACCACCACTCTATACCAATACCATTGCGTTGTGTTTCATCGTGTGAGTGAGGTTACCAATTACCCCCCTCCCTAGTCTCCCCAATCCCCGAATCCGCCATAATCCTCAAATTTTCAATTCCCAATTTATTTATTTTATTTATTTATTTTTAACAGTCACAACGGCATAAAAATCTAATTACAGTAACCCAAAAGGCTGGTAACGCACTTGTAACGCCTTGGTGTTTCAGGTGTCCATTGCTTAACATCAGGTGATTCGTCTGCTCGTTTACCGGCTTATGTCATTAAAAAACCAATTAGCATAATATAACATAACAAAGGGTAGGGTTAAAAGGCGTAAAATTATCGGGGTAGGCAGAGGTGTACATTATGCCACTGTACAATGTAACACCCACTTTTCACTATTTATGTTATGAGTCCCATGTAATAGGGGATGAGCCTATTGCCATATACCGGACACAATTCCAGACTCCGTCTACTACTGTGAATTTTTGAAAAACCCAGTAATACTTTACCCGACCCGGGAATCGAACCCGAGACCCCTTGCCCGGCAGTCGCATTTGCGACCACTCGGCCAATGAGGTAGTCGGAATTGGATTCAAGAGTAAGCTTCTAGATCAAATGATAATAAGAGACTCAGATTTGAGAATTTATGTTATAAGCTAAGACCTGTAAGATTATGGTGTTGGGAAAGTGCGTGGTTTTAAAGGTTAATGATGTTTTGACGATCAGCATAATGACAACCGACTCCATACACTTGTTCATCATGCTACAAACCACCATTACATCAGTGGTGCTAAAATGCTTCCCAATTAATAAATAATTAATCATAATGATTGTAAGTATCAATCAGAAACCTGATTGCCAACCAAAATAGTCTAATTTTTCTATTTCGATCAAGTACAGCCCAACTTTGCACACTTAAATCATGAGTGACACTAAAAGTGTGTCATAGTTTTTTTTTTTGTATTTCCAATTTACAACGTGACCATTTAGATTGTAAATACGTTTTTATATACCAGATAATACAATAATAAAACATTTTAATTCTCATATCAAGTCCTCCTTTGAGGCCTCTCCAAAATAGCCTCGGCCAAAATTCTACTAATATTATAAATGCGAAAGTTTGTGAGGATGTATGTAAGTATATGTTTTTGTAAGGATGTATTTGTTATCAGTGGTTCACGCAAAAAGTACTGATCGGATTTAAATGAAACTTCAAAGTAATGTAGGTCATATAATAATATCAGAATAACTTAGAGTACAATTAGTACAATTAGTTACAATTTTTAATGATTTTATGTTATTTTGGGCGTAATATAACACAAAAAGTTAGTTAAGTCGGAATCAAATCGGGCCTCCGAGACCTATCTGTGTGTACGCTACCTAAACCATAGGAGTTAGATACACAAAGATAATGTACTTTAAGATTGTTTGTCTTGCTTAGTTCTAAATGAAAGTCCGCGACAGCATATAGGCAGATATCTACCTTTATGTGGAAGTCTCAATGCCGATTTTTAAGAATATTACTATTCATCTGAAAACGGATAACTGACAGGTAACATTACAATGTTATCATTGTAATGTTTACCAAACCATAATAATTGTACTTTGTTGGTTGGTTGGTTTGGTAGGTTGGTTACCCAACCTGATGATTTGTAATTCTTATGGCAGCGTACTTCCGTAGTAATTTTTTGCATAGACGGACAAAAATGAATCTTTTTTTGGGTTGTTGCGTTGGGTTTATAAGGACTATATTAATATAGTATTTAGCTGCATCAGGGATCAACTATTTTGAAGAAAAAATACAACAATTCAATAAAAATTAAATGAATACAATTTATTGATGGACTAGCTTCTGCCTCCGGCTTCGCTTACACTCTTTTAATGGGCTGAGGGCAGAATATACAATAAAAATTAATGATGTACGATTTCCGCCAAATTTTTTACATTTCACCTTGAAAATTGCAACATGCTCCATATCCACTTCCAGCCCTATTTCAGGGAAGTGGGGTGTTAGAAAGAGACAAAAAGTAGCCTATGTTACATTTTGTAACTGTCCATCTTTTCAACTGCCTCTAATTAAAAAAAATCTTCTACCTCTGTTCTGCCGTTTAAAAAGAACAATCAAACAGACAAACTAATAGTTTCATTTTTGTTATGATATTAACATTAATATTTGGAAAGATGTTGACAGCACTCTAAGAAGAGAAAACCACGAATAAAATATTTTCTGTAAACTTGATTTCCTATTTTTCATATAGCAAAAAACTCAGAGCTTTTTAATAATTAATATTTTATTAATTTCTAAAAATTATTTTTAATTTCATTATTAATTTTTAATAATCTTAAAGGTCCTTTCCATTTTAGTCCGTCAAAGCCAAATTTACTATGATAGTTTGCTGGTCTCCTTTAGGTAATGTTAACCCAATGTGTGAAAAAGTACCAAAAAGACTATTTATATTATTGGTATTGCTTACACTGGTGCGATTATGGACAATAGAGCCAAGAGACGTATAAACTCTTAAAGTGGATCAACATAAAAGTCCACGTATCATGTTGTGTAACTAATAAGTATTTATTCATCTAAAAATTTGCAATAGTAACGTCACATCGGTACATAATCAGGCCACATTATCAGAGCAATTTCCAGGAGGGACCCATTTCCAGGAGGAAATCTCAGAAGAACGAGAACTATGCGTTTACGCAGACAAAGTCGCGAGTAACAGCTAGTTTATACATAAAACCAAAATTATTAATCATAATTTAGCGAGGATGACGCTACCTACACAATTGAGGATCGGACGTCACAGGTAAGTTAGTCCGATCTATTTAATTCTCATTCTAAATATAAAGTCAATGTCAACCGAAATTTTTATTTACATCTTATATTCTTTGTTTTCGATTTAGTCTTATATAAATTATGCAGGAAATCTGTAAGAAACTAGCCAAGTCTCATTTTTTTTTGCATTTGATGGTTCATCTCTAAAAAGTAATGACATTTCTAGACAAAGTCGTACCAAGTGTAAGGTTCTTGTTCACTAGGAAAAAGTTGATTGAATAAACAGCGATTCTGGTGAAGATGCCTTGCACCTGGTTTTGCACTGTTGTGCTGGTCTGAAAAAATCGCAATAAGGAACCTCAGACTTGAGACGAATGTCTAGATTTCATTACTATTTAGAAATGAATGAGCAGCTCCATCGAGACTTGGCTAGTTTTTTACAGAATGTTTTTGGTTGCATAATTGGTTCACCATTAACAATCTAGCACTTAATGAGAAAAAACCATATGAATTAAATTTAGTTTACCAAACGTGCGTAGTAACTGATTGTGATATTGTTTTGAACGGTCAAAAGTTAGAATTTATCGACGTGAAGGTATTTTTAGGCATTGCGTTAGACAATAGGCTACAATGAGGTTCGCATATAAAGGCGCTCTCGGGGATATTGAGCTCAGCTGCTTTTGCAGTTAGACATTTTAGACAGCTTACGGACGTAGATACAGCAAGGCTTGTCTGTTTTAGTTATTTCCACAGCATTATATCGTACGGCATTTTGTTATGGGGTCGAGCTGCACCAAATTGAATCAATATTTATTCTACAAAAGCGGGCTATCCGAGCAATATATAATTAACGCCGTTGCGAATCGCAAAAGAATTTTTTAAAACGATAAATATTTAAACGGTGCCCTGTCAATATATATATGAGAATATAATGTCTGTAAGGAAAAATAGGCAATTGTTTGAAAAAAGAAGCGATAGACACAATTTTAATACTAGAGGCAAAAATAATTTAGCTATACTGCAATTCAGACTGTCCAAGGTACAGAAGTCCTTTGTGGGTATAGGTATTAAATGCTATAATAAAATACCAAATAGCGTACTAGATCTCAATGAAATTAAATTTAAAACATATTAAGCGCGAATTATATAATCAAGCTTACTACACACTGACAAATTATCTTGAAGATACGAATGCTTGTCAGCATGTTGGTTCGGCTCCACTGGACAATACTCAAATGTAGTCAGTAGTTAGATTCCAATAGTAGGTAATTTAATAATTTTACAGTTTCATTCTAATGTAGACAATCTAGTTTCCTTATGGCATCGAGCATTTCTTTTTTTATTGAAACAAAGAGTTTCTACTTCTACACATATCTATGCAACTTTATGTTTAAAACTAATTCCTAATTATTTAAACGAAGACATAAACGAAGCAATCGAACATAACATGGAAACAATATGGCCGAAAACATTGGAAATGAATTGAAGTCATCACCAATAGTCAATAGAGTGTTTATTATAAAAAAAAATGTAGCTTAAAAATTAAGGTAATGCAGCGTTTGATTTAAAAAAAATCAAAGGTTAATTTAGTTAGTCAAATGAAATTGCATCATCGTCTTAAACCAATATTTCATACTAAAAAACATTCATTCATATAATTTGAAACGTTGTAAATGACGCCATCTTGACGTTTCAATAACTTCCTTTTAACTTTTATAATAATAAAGTCAACTCCTCGTTTAAAATTTCTATAAACCGACAACGCGTAAAAATGTTAAGGTTTAATTAAAACACTTGAAAAATATTTGTTAAATACGCATTTATAAAAATACATTCGCATTATATCGAACGAGTTCAGAAGT